ACAATAGTTTTTACTTTTTTGTGAAGTCTTTTTAATTTTAATTTTAATTTTACTTATAACTTTATAAGTAATATTTTATGATAAATTATTTTAATTAAGTTGCAGTGATTTTCTTTAGTAAGAATGTTGAATTTGTTTGTCAGATATTATAATTTGATTAAAGCTTAGGTACCTATAGTAAGTTCATTTTATTTTCAATTTCGTAGTATTTATATAATTTGTTCAATATATTCATAGATCTGCATCTGTTGTCCGCTTGTTCGTGTTTAGAAATATTTAAATAATGGAAAAAAAACACTCTTTATAGGTATAAAAATATAAAACACGGATTAGTGACGCTGTCGTAGTGTCTTCTGTGATCACAATTAGCCGGATTGTGAATGTGAATTTCCACTGATAATTTTATTAATAATAATACTTAACCCAAAACTTTCTAAGTTTTTAGCCATCCTAATGAAAAAATTTCTATCCATAGTTTAAATTTTTACATTCTATAGTAAAAAGGCTGTATTTAGTGTTATTCAAAGTTAAAGCTGGYGACCTGACGTATCTAGCGTAGTAATTTTGAATTTATAAATGTGCGTTCGAGGAATTGATCACAACGGTCGCCCACTTAAMCCGCAAGATGGCGTATTAGATATGATTTTTATTTATTATTAGTTTGATTTTCGATTTCGAGTTAATCGAGCTGGTTCATTAAAAATTAAATTATCAGCTGAACAGTCGACAGCTATCTTTAGTTGTTACTTTGTTAGGGCGTTAAACCGTTGAATCCACCACCTTCCCATTCAACAATTTTGGTTCACTTACCTACCTATTAAGTAAATTGTATTGCTTATAGATACTCTCATTAGAAGAACATTGTAATCGTTTGACAAATATATCTACATTTTGATATTTCAACAGTGGAATGAGATAAACTGAAATTTATAAGAATGTTACTATTTATCTGATGAATTCTACTAACTTAAATGTCCAACCTYAATACTTTTTGGTAAATAATCAATATAAGAAATCTTACTAATCGGTTTTAGGTTTACTCCTGGCTAAGGTAATTTTTTTTAGCATATTTTTTTATAATATGCTGAATAATATAATATTAAAAATGAATAATTATAATATTGTATAAATTATATATTTATTTACCTATAATATACAGAATAAATCGCTAATAGTTGCCATACTGTACCTATAAATTGTCCTAAATTCAGTAAAGCAGTCTACCTAGTTATTTTGTTATGCTAGGGAATATTGACAAACAAACGTAATAATTTGCCTGCTGTCAACATCCAAAACAAAGGGAATAAGATTTATTTTAGATTTGCCAGAAATATTATAAATATAAAATAAACAGCCACTTCTATACTTAGATATGTATTACACACTCAATCTGAAAATAAATAAATTTAAAAATGTATTATATTATATTGCTAGATTTATTTTTAATGTTTAAAAGCTATATACCTACGTTGTTCACCCAGTAAAGACTTATTCATGTAAGTCACCGCGGCCAATTTAGAGATAGACCAAAGAGCTGTTATTTTTATTAATATAAAATAAACGATGTGTATCTCGGGTATAAGAAATGTGAAATTAAATCCCAGGTCTAGTGGTTTAAACGGAAAAAATAATAATAAYATGTTATTCAAAGCATGTTATGTTATTCAAATAGAAGGAAAAATAATTACATATGCGCATTTAAATATAATCAAAACAAAACAAAAACTCAAGTCAGTCATGTAAGATGTAAAGGTAACGTTATAACTTATAAACCATGTTAACAAAAGCAAAAAATTTATTATACCTATTTCAGTAGAAATACAATTTTACAATATTGGTACAGGTATCTAAGTGGCAAGTACCAAGTAATAAATAATAATAATAGAAAARGATTAGGTCAGATTATGTTAAAGTAAAATTTTGTTGCCAATATTATTCATAAATTATTTATATAATACTAACAAAATATAGAGTGTGGGTTTCTATGCATTTTTATTTATTCTGGTTAACCTTATGATATACTAGGTAAGAATAACATATTTTATATTATGGTAAAGATTGAACATTTGAAACATTTTTAGTGTTTATTTTTTATACACATCAACTTTTAATGTTTTAAGGACTTATTTTACGGTTTTAACTACATATTTAATATTTTAGTGCTTATTTAGAAATTTCTATAAATATTTTTCAAATATAAATTAAAAAAAGGCGGTTAAGTCGTGGATGTCACTCTGCTGTACAGTAGGTTACAAGTGGGTTACTGCCGTTACTGGATGGAATTAAATTTGAATCCAATGATATTATATCATTGAATACGAAAAACGATGCTGAGCAAAGACGGTTTATCTGTCTAGGATATAATTATAGATTATTAAAAATTTTCAAATCTTAGATTTAAAAAGAAAAATTTTTATGAATTTCTAGTTTAAAATAATTTGCGAATTTTCGTGATTTTTACGTATGTTGTTTAAAATTCAAACTTTGAATGCTTGTAAAAAAAAAATTGTGACTATGCATTTCTTTTATTTTTCAACTGCTATTGTAAAAATATGTTAGGAGCCTTGTATTAAATTTTCAAATCTTAGATATAAAAGGAAATTTTTTTATGAATTTCTAGCTTAAAATAATTTGCGAATTTTCGTGATTTTTACATAATATGATGTCAAAACTCAAACTTTGAATGCTTTTAAAAAAAATTGTGACTGTATATTCCTTTTATTTTGCAACTGCTATTGTAAAAATATGTTAGGAGCCTTGTATTAAATTTTCAAATCTTAGAATTAAAAAGAAAAATTTTTATGAATTTCTAAATTTCTATCTAAGATAATTTGAACATTGCCGTAATTTTTACGTATTTAGTCAAAATTTGAACTTTAAATGCTTATAAAAAAAAATCGTGCCTATGAATTTTTATTATTTTTAACTGCTATTGTTACAATGTGTTAGAAGCCTTGTATTAAATTTTCAAGCTTTTCTACCAAACACATACGTTTTATCGATGTTAATTTAAAAAAAAACTWATAATGATCGAAAATTTCAAATGCCTAGGAATAGTTCAACTTAAGTCGAAAATTTTTGAAAATTGCATGGTGGATAGAATATACTTATATAAACATTCGGTGAAAATTTCATGTATCTATGGTCATTTGTTTTAAAGTTACATCAAAAACCAAAATCGATTTTGTCAAAAAATGAGTGTGTGTAAAATTTCCCGTTTTTCCCTTAATTTTTAGATTGTTTTTCTCGATTATTTAGAAAAGTATTAAGTAAAATTTTTTTACTTTTGACCCCCCCCCCCTCAAAGTACCATCTTCTAGATTCACTTTCTGATCGAACGAGGTACTGAAGTCAAAAACCGAAGCTATTTTACTGCCCCAAAACGTGATGACAGCCACAAAAAACAAACACACATCATGATAAAATCAATACATTCATCGCTCCGCTAAGAATCTAAAATCGGGAAGTAGCTCTGCTTAATAGTAAGTGTCGAATGTACCTCGTCATTAAAGCGAGTTATTAAAATGTATGTGTTAAATTTGAATTAAATGATAAATCATTTCATTCGAAAAACAATTTTAAGTTTTAATAACTTATTTTCMTTCGATATACTGCATATGGATTCGGAAGTCAGGATACACCATGCAGTAGCGTACTAGCGTGTTGACCGTAATTTACCATATTATTATATTAAATCAACCTTGTAAAATATAGGGAGAAAAACATGGAACATCAT